GGAGGATTCAGATACTTTGATCTAGCTTTTTGTAAAGATAGGACATGCCAGGAGGAGTCAGATACTTTGATCTGGCTGTTGTATATATAGAGCATGGCAGGAGGAGTCAGATACTTTGATATGGCTGTTGTAAAAATGAAGCAGGGTAGGAGGAGTCAGATACTTGTGGATATTGTGAAGATAGAGCATGGCAATAGGAGTCAGATATACGTTATTCTGCTTTCACAATTGAATACATGGTAGATCATTGGTTGGTTGGTTGATTTCGTTTAGCAGCATATAACTCTCTATAGGTTATTTAATGCTGAAATCTAAATATTTTGAACATAATTTTATAGCTTCACCTAAATATATTTTCAATGCAAGTGTATGCCTTCAAACTACACATAAAATGTAGTGTTGGTCATTTTGCAATAAAATATACTATTGGTAACTATACTATAAAATGTATTATTTGTCATTTTGCTATAAATATATATTACTGGCAATTTTCATCAAAAGTTACTGAACAAAAGTCCTGAAACAAAAATTCCCTGTCACAAGGTAAAATATTTTTAAATAAAATATCATTATATATATATATAGAGAGAGAGAGAGAGTGAGAGACAGACAGACAGACAGACATACATACACACAAACAAATGTAAGCGTGATCTTCTGTTGATATGTAATAAATTTTCCACAGAGTGTGGCAAAAATACTGCCCACATAATGGTAAGACATTAGCTAGATAAAGAAACCATTGCCACTCATATCGTACTTTCATGTGGAAGGTATTTTTACTGCACACTGTACTTTCAGTTATCTAGAATTTCTACGTCTACCCTGATAATGTACATTTATTCTTGGGATTATATCTATGTGTGACTTTTTTTTTTCTGTGTGTATGTTTATGTTTAAGCAAATGATAAAAATTAGAAAAATGTGTTGCAAATTCTTTACTAAAAAGTTTTCATTTTTTTTATTTTTTGTATTAGCCATAATGTCATCGCATGCTTATTTTGAAAAAAAAAAAAAAACATGATAAAAATATAAATGTCACTACGGAAGGAGTATAAAAGATTCTTGTTTCCTAAATGTCAACCATAAAAATCCTCTCCCACCTAATTTAAATTCTCAGCCCTTTACTCTATCTTCTCTTAAGTGCATGAAGTCTTAAAAAAAAAGCATATGGCTTTACACTTCTCATTGGGAAGTGTTGTCCCCCAAAGTGAAATGTTGCCCCTAGGTGAAGTGTTGTCCTCTAAGTGAATCTATTCTGTAATATCAAACAAAATCTAATTATATACTCATCAATCATGAGATAATCAACTGTTATGGTAATACGATGCATTACATGACTGCAAATTGCTACAAAACTAAAATTTGAAAACTCATGCTATGTTCTTAAATAGCCTCATCAGATTGAGACTTTTATATGGATGCCATGCATAGCATCAAACCTGTTCAGAAATATCTAAACTTTCAGTTGTATACAACCAGTTCCTAATATCAATGGTGTAAAAAAGGCATTGAGGGAGTTTGATCTTAAAGATCATCCCTCTTTGAACATTATGGACTAGTGCTATAGAATCACAAAGAACTGTACCAAATAACAGAAACCACATAACTTGAGGACTACCAACAGCAGCAACAATTAAAATGGATAGCACTTGTAATGTGAAGAGTAAATAATGACACGATCAAGATGTCAACCTTTTACACATCAAACAAAAGGTTAGGAGGGAAACTCCAACCAATACAGGAAAGAGCTATAACAGCTACTGAACTTGAGAAACTTGTTTTTCTGAAAGTTTTTTTTGAGAAAAAGATTTTATAAATTTCAACCAGAAAACAGTACTGGCTGCTTGGTAAATGAATGCCAATTGTTTCCTTGTAGGGAAATGGCTACATATTAGCATTATCAATACGTGAATATGTCTTGTGTTATGAAATAATGTTCAGTACCTTTATACCTTGAATATGTGGGTTGCATGACCTCCCAAAAGAGGCACCTACTAAGTTAATGCATGCAGGCTCAAATATAAATGATCAATATTTACCTATATACAGACCAAATAAATTCATATAGACTCAAATATAACTAACCAATACCGGAATCAAGTAAATTCTTCAAATATAAACAACTACTATTTATCAATCTCTGAATCAAATAAACATGTATGTAACAGCAAATTTTGGACTTATCAGGAGCTACTAGTTATCATGATGATTTTGGGTTGTGTTAGCCATTAATTTTTGTGGAAATTAGTTTCTCATCCATTAAATTTTATGGGGATTGATTTGTTAACCATTAACTCTTATGGGTTGTTTGTGATTCAATTTTATGGAATTAGGTCTATTCACCACTAAATTTTATGAAAATTGTGTTTTTAGCCATTAAATTTATACAAATTGGTCTGTTAGCCATTAATTTGGTGGGGAATTGATGTGTTAGCCATTAATTTTGGGGAGAACTGATTTGTTAGTGATTAATTGGAGGTGGGGGAGAACTGATTTGCTAGCCATTAATTTTATGAGAATTGGTTTGGGAGCCATTAATTTTATGACATTTTGTTAGTCATTACTAAGATTGGGATTGCTTTGTTTTTTTGTTTTTAATTGGTTTGTTTTTAACCATGTATTTAAGCGATTTTCATGAAACATTATGACTGGATGATGTAGAATTTCCCAGCAGCATCTACTGCATAATGTTAGGGAGATCTTAGAAGTGTTCTTGAACTTTGTGCAGCCAGTCAACCAAAGTACATAATTTACAAGCCATCAGAGATATTTGCTAGTTGAGAAAATGGATTTCATATTACCTTATGGAAAGGTGTTTAAACATTTGTTGGCAAAAAATGGATAAACATGCCCACAATAAGATGGAGTGTCGAAAGGATGGTTTTTCCCATGATACCACTATTATTTTAACTCTTTGGCGATGTTTGTATCGTTTCAAAAAGTGCTTATTAGAATTGCAATAAGCTCTAAACATATGAAAGTGAATTTATACATTTTCTTTACTTGAGAATTTTTGCATCATTCAATGCTGAATTGGAAAAGAAAAGATGATTTTCTGGACAAGGAAGTTAACTGATGGTTTTGCAACATTATACATTACAGTGAGCAACTGGCTCAGTTGAACACTGCATTGGAAATGAAAAGATGACTTTCTGGGCAAGAAATTTTGCTACATGTTAATATTTGTGGGATCATACATATTGCAAATGTAATGTCGCAAACCAACATGAAGTTAGAATTAAATGCTCTTCAACAGGTGACTGATTCTCCAGAACTGTTACCTTCAAAGTATGTGCTCAAGATGTTTAAAAACAAAACAAAACAAAAATGGGCAAAGTTTAACCCTCAGACATGCAAAAAAATAAATAAATAAAACAGTGTGTCAAAAGGATGTTTTATTTTTGTCTTGATACTGCTATTACTGTATGCTCCTTCAACTTCTGCAGGGATTATTGTTTTAAAAAGCTGTTTTTGAATTGATTTTTTTATCTGACATTTCATTGTTATTAAATTCAGCCATTTAAATGAATAAAAATAGAAGGATGTTAACTCAAATTTAAATGAATAAAAATAGAAGGATGTTAACTCAAATTTAAATGAATAAAAATAGAAGGATGTTAACTCAAATTTAAATGAATAAAAATAGAAGGATGTTAACTCAAATTTAAATGAATAAAAATAGAAGGATGTTAACTCAAATTTAAATGAATAAAATAGAAGGATTTTAACTCAAATTTAAATGAATAAAAATAGAAGGATGTTAACTCAAATTTAAATGAATAAAAATAGAAGGATGTTAACTCAAATTTAAATGAATAAAAATAGAAGGATGTTAACTCAAATTTAAATGCATAGAACATATTAGAAACACATTAGAAATGACATTTATATTAATAATAAAAAGCTATCTTTAGCATTTTAATAACAACAAAAATGTTACACACTGTTTAGTTGTTAGATTGTTTATTTATAGAATTAATTTTAAATTTAAAGTTTGGTTTGTTTTATGGGATATCAACCTCAATGGGTCATTTGATGCTGACAACATTTTTTTTCCTGGTAATATTTTTGTTTTGTCAAAAATCCATTTCTGTTAATATTTTTTTTCTCAAAAATGTACAGCTGGCAACATTATTTTTTCATAAACATATAATCAGAGGCCTTGCTGTTGGACATAATTTATCGTCTTACCCAGGACGCAGATGTAGTTTATCATCATACCCAGGATGTGGATGTAGTTTATCGTCATACCCTGGACACGGATGTAGTTTATCATCATACCCTGGACGCAGATGTAGTTTATCGCCATATCCAGGATGCAGATGTAGTTTATCGTCATACCCAGGACGTGGATGTAGTTTATCACCATAACAAGAGTATTTAAATTTAAAGATTATATTGCTAAATTGGCTTGTTTTTTAGAGCTGATCAACCCATTTTAAGTTATTTAGAGCCAGAAAATATTTCTAGATTGTTAAAATTTTTTTACTAATGAACCCATAGCTGGGATGGGAAGAGGGTGGATTCATACCTTTCACAATGGTATTTGCATATAAGTGAGTATAATGAATCAAACGGGTATTGGAACTTGGCTCTCCAATTAAAAATTCTGAGTCATTATCTATTTCACCACCCACATCCAAGCTTACAGCACCTGGTATTCCCTAGTGGTTATCCATATAGGTAATGACCTGGCTCAATGTTGCTCAACTTTAGTGATTGTATGGGAAGTGGTGTTTAAACATGATGTGGCCATAGGCATAAAGATTATAAAAATATCTGAACCAATTACAATGCCATATGTATCATTTACCATTTTATAATTTACTTGGATTGGAATGGAATTCAAATTAGGCTCTCTGATTTCTCAATCTACTGTTCCCAAGAAGTCACCCATCTAAATACTGATCAGACTCAATGTTGCTTAATTTTGGTGATCAGAAAGGAATTCAATGTGATATGGTCATAAACCATTCTACATGCACATTCAGGCTTAA